AAAGCTCATTTTCTTTGTTGTACCATCCTTTCTTGAAAAATCTCTGGTTTCTGTACCTCTATCATCATATGAGGTCCTTCTTGTCTGACTTCAACTCTTATCTCCTTTTCTATCTTCCTTTCTCTTCCCTGGTTAAATCTGGATATTTCCCAAAAGTGCAGAATAAATTGTTCCACTTAGAAGAGATTTTGAAAACACAATTCCAAATTTTACAAAATAATATTATTAATAATGTCAGTATGTTATCACTACCAAATAAGATACACATAAAATGTGGATGAATATAAGAGCCAAATAAGGCAGACCCAACCACTTCAGATCCAAGATCTCACAGGACTGGGAACAAACTATACATAATACCCCACATAACTCCTTTCAATATACACATACACAGACCTTATGAAACACTCTCGTATTTTCTGGCCCTTCTGACCACAGCCCTTCTCTCATTCTCCAAATACATTAATATCAATGTTTTAGAACATACTACAGTCACTGCCAAATAGCTGAGATTATCCATCCGATGTTCTCCAAGGAGATTCTTCTCCTGACAACTCCAGCATGAGATTATTGTGTATATATAGATCCCTAGATCCCTGCTATGCACAGGACAGGCACATGACAAATGTTCGGCAAAGTGAAGGCAGCACATGGCACCACTGTAGCCCTAGACTGCAGATTCACTGGCATTCCAAGAACTTCACAAACAGCACACTTAGCGTGACTTTTCTTTTTTTAAAAGGACACTATGTGGCTTGTAAATGTAATTGTTGAGATGCATCACATTGAATCATAATATTTTCATTACTTAACATTCTTTCACACTATGAAATCTCCAAAATTAAGATCATTTGGATTGAGGAATCTTTTAAAATGCAACATTTGTGTAAAAATAGCTCACCAAGAAAGGAATTCATTTCGTCAGTCTATTTTACTCCTTATTTTAGCTGGAATATTGGCCCCTAAAGTGACAGTTTTGCTGGCGGAGGGAGAGCAGGAAAAGATAATTTTGGAGCGCTGGAGAAGACTGATCAACAGGTGGGCAGTGTGATGAGCGAGTCATAAGAGGGACTCGAGGAGAAGGATATGGGAAGGAGAGTCTGAAGATAAACATAAACATAAACTGTATTTCACATCAGTCAGGGTCCCATCCGAATACTTGTACTTTTATAGTACCTGGTATGTCTCAGGGTCAGTTCTAAGTCCTCATTTAATTAGTAGAAGGTACTATTTTTATCCCCGTTTTACAGTTGTAAAAACCAAAGCACAAAAAAGTTGAGTATCTCCCATTTATTTTTAATCTTTATTTATTTTTGAGAGAGAGGGAGAGAGAGCACCCAAGCGGGGCCAGAGAGAGGGACAGAGAATCTGAAGCAGGCTCTGCACTGACAGCAAAGAGTCCGATGTGGGGCTCAAACTCACGAACTTCAAGATCATGCTGAGCCCAAGTCGGACACTTAACGGACTGAGCCATGCAGGTACACAAGGTCAAGTATCTTGCAAAGCTGCACAGCTAGTTAGTGGCAGAGCTGGGATTAAAATGCAGGCACATTTCATAATCATGAATGATTATGCTTTTACATAGCATAATTTTTGAGAGCGGTGGTCAAACATGTTTTTGACTATGATTCCCAGTAGGAATTCAGGACCCACTACAGCAAAGAAACAGAAGTTTCTTGAAATAATAGTCTTATCAGATGCAGTGCCCTCAGATCTTTCCTATTTTACTTTAAAAAATATTGGTTGCAGAACGCCTGGGTTAAGCAGTCGACTTTGGCTCAGGTCATGATCTCAGGTTAGTGGTTTGTGTCCTGCATCAGGCTCTGTGCTGACAGCTTGGAGCCTGGAGCCTGGTTTGGATTCTGCCTCCTTCTCTCTCCACCCTTCCCCTGCTTGCATTCTCTCTCTCTCTCAAAAAATAAAAAAAATAAATAACATTAAAATTTTCTTTAATTGTTGGTTGCAATTAATAAATTACTTTTATAGCCCTCAATGGGTATGACTTACAATTTGAAGAACACTGCTTTAGAGACCAGGGCTGTAAGTGATCATTTGATATCTTCACTTGGATGTTTGACAGTCATATCAAAAAAATGAACAGTCATCTTCACTTGGTCATTGACAGTCTACAACCAAACTCCTGAATTTCACACTTCAATCATGCTCCTTCCCTTTTCTTCCTTTCATTAAATGGCAGATTCTTCTGCACTGTCCATATAGTAGCCACTAGTCATACAAAGCTATAGAAGGCTTGAAATGTATCTATTGTAACTGACACATGCTAGAAGTGTAAAATACACACCAAGCTTCAAAGACTTAGTAGGAAAAAAGAACCTAAAATATCTCATCAATAACTTTTTATATTGATTGCATGTTCAAATAATGTTTAAGATATAGAGTTAAATAAAATATATTATTACCTGGGGCACCTGGGTGGCTCAGTCAATTAAGCATCTGACTTCAGCTCAGGTCATGATCTCAGGGCTCCTGAGTTCAAGCCCTGCACTGGGCTCTGTGCTGACAGCTCAGAGCCTGGAGCCTGCTTGAGATTCTGTGTCTCCCTCTCTTTGCTCCTCCCCTGCTCGTATTGTGTCTCTCTCTCTCTCTCAAAAATAAATAAACATTAAACATTTTTTAAATTAATTTTACTTGTTTCTTTTTATTTATTTATTTATTTTGATATGGTTACTTGAAAGATTTTTACTGCCTATGTGACACATTAGCTTTGTTTTTTCTTTTTTTTTATTATTATACTTCATTTGGACAGTAATGTTCTGGTTGCTCAGGCTAAAAAAATCTTGGAATAATCCATGACTCCTTTCTCATCATCAGTATAAGCTCTACTTTCAAAATAAATCCATAATTCAATAACTTCTTACAACCTTCACTGCTATACCTTCTTTACACACACATATACACATCACTATATGTTGGTTAATTGAAATAACTTCTTAACTGGTCTCACTTCCTTCCTCACCACACCCTACAGTTTAGCTAGCTATTCTCCATAAAGTTGCAGAGTAATCCTTTAAAAGGTCTATCAGAGGGAGCACTTGGGTGGCTCAGTCCCATAAGCATCCAACTTCGGCTCAGGTCATGATCTCATGGTCTGTGAGTTCGGGTCCCGCATCAGGCTCTGTGCTGACAGCTAGCTCAGAGCCTGGAGCCTGCTTCAGATTCTGTGTGTCCCTCTCTCTCTGCCCCTCCCCCCTCACGCTCCGTCTCTCACTGCCTCTGAAAAGTAAATAAACCTTAAAAAAAATTTTTTTAAAGGTCTATCAGATTATATCACTCCTCTGTTCAAAATCCTCCAATGCCTCTTTTGCCCAGATTAAAAGTCCAAATCCTTGCAATGGCCTACAAAGCCTTACAAGAGATGGCTGACAAACCCACCCCATTATCTGTCCTAATTTCTTACCACTCTCTTCACTCAGCTACATTGGTCTCCCTGTCCCCCAACTGTGCTCCTACCTCACAGCCTTTGTACTTTCTGTACCTCTGCATGTAACCCTCTGCCCTGGGTATCTTCTTCGCTCTTTCTCTGATTGGTATCAAAAGTCAACTCACCAGCAAGTCCTTTACTGGCTATTGTATTTACAATTGCAAACTTCCTTTTCCTGACTCTTCTACGCTTTCCCACTTCTCTTTTTCTTACAACCTTTAATTATCTTATATAATTTATTTATTTTATTTATTTATTTTATTTATTTATCTGCCTCCCACCAACAAAATATAAGAGTTTCATGAGGGCAGTAACTTTGATTCACCTTCACGCCTGGCAACCACTAGGTGCTCAATAAATTCTAGTTGAATGAATAAATGAACTACAGATTCCCAAACTCAGTTTTAGACCACGTGCAATTAGCCATTCTCAGAAATCTACTGAAACAAACATTTCAGTGTCTTTAGTTTTTAACCATTATTGTTTTGGGCCTATAATTTTTCCATAGTAAACAAAGCAAGATCTTTCTCTGCACTCCAAACCCTTTGTCTTTTTTCTCATGATCCACAGGTGTCCTCAAAAAGCTCTAGAAGGGTTTTCTTTTCCTCAGGCATAAAATCTCAGACATCTGTACCAGATCCTAAATTTCTGGCCTACAATATGTGCAGCCAATACAGATCCTTAATCCCATATGATCTTCACGTCTATGCAGTATACATCACATACAACCAGACGTTGTACAAGTGGTATTTGCACACTCAATTGTTTGCAAACTGGCCACATTTCACCTACCTAGTAATTCCGTGGCTGCATTCAAGATGTGCCCTATGTTAGCACTAGAGATGGCAGACACAGGAAGGATGGAATGTCTGAGATTGCAGGCGGCCCCTTACTTTAAACATGAGGAAATCAAGATTCAGAGAGTTTAGGCCACGTAAACTTAGGCCACATTAAAAAAAAATAATAATAATAATCAGGGGCGCCTGGGTGGCTTAGTCGGTTGAGCGTCCGACTTTCGCTTAGGTCATGATCTCGCGGTTCATGGGTTCGAGCCCCGCGTCGGGCTCTGTGCTGACTGCCAGCTCGGAGCCTGGAGCTTGTTTCAGAGTCTGTGACTCCCTCTCTCTCTGACCCTTCGCTGCTCACGCTGTCTCTCTCTCTCTCCGAGAAATAAATAAAAATATATTTAAAAAAATCAAAACAAAGACACAAAACACATCTTGGTAGAAAAAGCACAGGAAGCCAGGTCTCTCGCCTCCCACCATCAGTCACTTCACAAAACGACCCTGTAACCTACGCAGCTCAACCTAGCTGGCAGCCTTCTACTGGAGCATTTCAGTGTTCAACTACGAGCTCGCAGCGGGTAAAGGAGGTGCATGCACCCTCCAGACCTCGCACCTCCTAGCGCCGACAGGAGAAAAAAAAAAAAAGGCAGCCCACTACCTGGGCCGCAGCCGCCTCCGAGACCCCGGCCCCGCTGACCACAGTCTCGCGAGACTAGCGATCGCGGCGTGCAGGGTGTGGAGCCTCCCGGAAGTGGGCGAGGGGACCTGTCAGCTCCCACCCGGGGGTGTGAACTCGAGGCCGGGTGGGTCGAGGGTCTCCTCGGGGACCAGCGCGAGGCGGAGCCACGGAGAAGCGCTCTTTCACACAGCAGCTTTCGCCCTGGCCCGGCTGCCGCCGCCCCGCCCTTTGCCCTTCACGGCGCCCGGCCCTCCGTGTGTGGGGCTGCCTCTCGCGCCTGGGCAGCCTGCCTTTCCCCGTTTGCCTTCTTTCCCGTCTCCTCCCCCGACTCCAACACCAGAGTCGCGGGTCCTGCAGTGTCCCAGAGGCTGCGCGTATAACTTGCTCCGTGTAAGTGCTAGGAATGCCTCTGGCGTCTCAGGGAAATGGGTTCTTTCTATCTATAGCTCCGTCTGTGCATCCTATGTCTGCAACAGCTATTCCAGGGGCAACAACTGCTTCCCTCTGTTCTCATCTCCCCATTGGTGGCTTCCAACCCGAATTTGGGAATGGGGAGCTCTCCCACCTGTTATCTTTGAGCGGACTAATCTCTTGTAAGCAGAAGTGCCATTTGTAGTCTTCAAAACCTTTTGGCCTGGGACCGGGAATTTCCCCCCTACCCAAATCCAGGCTTTCCAAAACGTACTGCTTTTCTCTGAGAAAAATTTAGTTTTGGTTTTTGTTTTAATTGTAAGAGTCTATAATACAGTTGTTTTGCTTTGGTCCTATAGTGCTCGAAGGGAGGAAACAGCTATTAATTTACCTTCTCAGGTCGTCCTTATAGGACTCATTCTTCCTCTTTGCTCTGCTAGGGTTAAAACATATTTAGAACATGTAAGTGCGACTGTCAGCCTTGAAGAATTTAAGGTAATAGTTATTTTCTTTATCTTAATTCCTTTTTGTTTCATAGGGGTAACTCATTCGATTTCGGAGTTCTTTTAATTCTTCTGAAAGATTTCAAATCTTCTAGAAGCCAAAATGGGACACAGTAAACAAATTAGAATTTTACTTCTGAACGAAATGGAAAAGCTGGAAAAGACCCTCTTCAGACTTGAACAAGGTCAGTAGCAAGTTGTTTGATTATCTCTGTGTCTTTTTACATTTTTAACCTATTCTAACAGGTTAAAACCCATTCTAATTTTTTAAACTTTAGGACATATAATTTCCAAGGACCTTTCTAAACTCGACTAGTGCAAAGACAGTGCTGTATTTTAAAAATATAACTAATGAAAGTTGATTTTAGTTATAAAGTTGAAAACGTTATATCTGTCATGTCAGGATAAAATAGTTCACTTTTGTTTCCGTGCTTCCACTTAAGACAGAAGTTTCATATATGATCAAGAAATTTATCATATTATTGCTATTGATTATTATAAAATGTGGTAAATTACTTCCTATGTAATTTTATTTGGAGGATATCTACAGTTTTGCTTTTTCATAGCCCTCGTTTTTTTCCTTTACTGAAACTTTGATTTAGTAAAATATATAACAGAAAAAAGCGAACTATTACTTATATTTATCAAAAGCCTTTCGAATGTAGAGAAGATAAAAGCTGAAAATACTTTTTTGCTGAATAAAAATTAAAAAGAAAACTAATCAGGTTATGTTGAATTATATTTGAGCTTTCTCTTTAGACTTCATAATTTTTCAACATTGAAAAACATCTTACACTGTTTTATGTTAGTATAACTTGTGAAGTAGAAGTTTAGTGTATGAAAAATAAAATGCAGCCCCCCTTTAATAGTGTGACAGATACACATTGATGGTAAACATTGAAGGATTCCCCCCACCCCAATATCTCAGGAGTTAAGTTTTTGAAGAAAAACAAATCGACCGTCAAATGTGTTAACCTCCATGCCAAATCACCTTCTTCCAACTTTGGCATTTAAGATCACTGAGTACTTACTCCATTTTTGGCTTTCCTGACTCGGCACTTTCATGGGTTTGATTTTTTTCCTGCCCTCTTGAGTACTCCTGTCAACGTGGTGGTGTCTCTTGCTGAGCTGTCTCCCTTCCTTATTTTAATTAATTGTATCTATCTGCAAGAGATCTTTTCTTTTTCTCCTCTGCCCTCAAAGAATTCTACATTCTCACGGCCTCATTTGTTGCCTCCATGCTGATGTCTCTTTTTGGAAGAAGAACCTTGAATTTTGCTTGATTCTTGAAAGCCAGGAGTATAATGGTGAGAGTAAGGAACTAGAATTTTCTTGGCTCTCCTGCTAACAACTTCTTTGACTTTGGGCAAGTCACATGAATTCTAAACATTAATTAGTTTGTGAAATGAAGGTGTTAATTTTTGTTCTTCTATCTTCCTGGTTGTTGAGGCTCAAAATTAGTAATAAAAGGCTTTAAAGTCCTAAACAGGTATCAGGCCTTGATAGATCACTATACCTATCTATTTTTGCAGTGGATTCTTGGCTTCGTCCAGTATTACACTACAGAATAAATAGCCTTAGGGTAGCTCTCCACTTGGTAGACTTACAACTGACATGTCCAAAACCATCTCCTACTCCCCATTCTTAAACCTTCTTTGTTTCCCATCCTGTTTATTTTAGTGATATCTCCATTTTCATAGTTTCTAAGGCCAGAAACTTTGTACTCTTCTTTGACAGTTTCTTCTCTTTAACTGCAATCTCTCTTGAAGCCCTGTAATTTCTTTCCAAATGTCTCTGTTTTCCTGTCTCCTCCGTATGCCTGAACATGGATGCTAGAATAATCTTCAATGCCATCTCTTCCCTTTTCATTAATTGGTGTCTATATAACTAGTCAAATATAAATGCCTCTGGAGGGTTTTCAAGACATTCTCTAGGGGCACCTGGGTGGCTTAGTTGGTTAAGCGTCCGACTTTCACTTAGGTCATGATCTCGTGAAGTTCGTGGGTTCGAGCCCCGCGTTGGGCTCTGTGCTGACTGCCAGCTCGGAGCCTGGAGCCTGTTTCAGAGTCTGTGACTCCCTCTCTCTCTGACCCTCCCCTGCTCACACTGTCTCTCTCTTTCTCTCTCTCCTAGAAATAAAAATATTAAAAAAAAAAAAGACATTCTCTAATGGAATCCACCTTCATTAGCCAAGATTGTATCTCATTGTTCCCCATTATTAGTGTCCTACATCTTTACAGTTTCCCTGTCAATCCCTCTCTCCTGGCTTTTCTCATAGCTCTCCTGACACCTTCACCCCCATCAGATTCCTCTATATCCATTAAATTCCTTTACTATCATTCTGTGTATTGTCTACCTCTCAACTTTCAGCTAAAACTCTACCTCCTCTATGAGATCTTTTCTTAATTTTTTTGTTATCTCCTTTCTTTGATTTCCAGTCATACAATAGGCACAGAACAATTAAGTACTGAACAATATAGCAGTGTCTAAAAGCTTATTGGTCTCATAGCATCCAACTAGTTTAAGATCTGTGAGGATAGGGAAAGTATTATAAACCTAGTGCAGTGTACAACAGCCATTAAATCCTTGCTGATTGATTGCTAAAACACCAGTTAAAGCTAACAAAAAGTGTTAAATTCAGCCAAACTATTTGAAGAGAAAGCTCTGAAGGGCTTATAAAATAAGAATGATGTGGTTGAGTCTGTAACTAGTTAAAATCAGTAAATCCAACCAACTGATATAAGTGGGAACATGTCAGTTTTTTGTGTGTGCAGTAATGAGGTGATTAATATTACTATAGAAGATAATTATAACGTGAAAGATGAAGGGACATTGGAGACAAGAAATGAATCCTTGAGAAGGCTATTTTGAAAACACATCTGGTTAAAAATAAGGGTTTAACTACATCAGAATCAAGATGTTCAGAGTTAGAATTCAACACATTTTATTTTATTTATTATTATTTTAATGTTTATTTTTGAGAGAGAGAGAGAGAGAAACAGAGCTTGAGCGGGGGAGGGGCAGAGAGAGGAGGAGACACAGAATCCAAAGCAGGCTCCAGGCTCTGAGCTGTCAGCACAAGAGCCTGATGTGGGGCTCAGACTCACAGACTGCAAGATCACAACCTGAGTCAAGTCGGACGCTCAACTGACTGAGCCCCCCAGGCACCCCTTTTTAAAATATTTTTTTAAATATTTATTTGTGAGAGAGAGTGAGAGGGGCAGAGAGAGGGACAGAGAGAGGGAAAGAGAGAGCCAAGCAGGCTCTGAGTTGCCAGGATATTGCAAACCATGAGATCATGACCTGAGCAGTAACCAAGAGTGGGACACTTAACCAACTGAGCCATCCAAGTGTCCCAGAGTATGAGACATTTTAAATTCATAGGACTTAGTGACCAATTAGATGTGAAGAAAAACTTTGGTTCTTTCATATTTAGTTGGTCATCAAGTTTCTTCATTTTTCTTTTCACTTTTCCCTAAGAAAGGATTCCTCCTTATTTTCAAGGCTAATATCTCTATAGACTCTTCTAACTCAAGAAGATCAAATAATATTTTTTCTAGCCAAATCATAGCCTTTCCCTGTATTTCCTGTTTCATTCAGTGGCAGAATAATGAACAAAATCAGTTTTGGCTGAACCTGGAGTTCTTCTGTTTTCATATAGGTTGGTCAAATTTCAACTTTTAATTTTTCTTTTTTTGGAAGAAAATACTTTAAAAGTTTCTTGATTAGGAATTTGAGTTTCTATAAATTTAGTGGAGGGAACAAGATGGAAAAATTTAGTTTACAGTAATTTTAATCGTTTACTAGTTGCCTACGAGAGGGATATGGCTAATCTGAGTAAAGTTTTCCTCGTGTTCTCTGAGGAATAAGATAGCCACACTATGTACTGCTATGCCCTAAACTAATTTTAGCAAACTGAGTGAGTCATTATGGAATCTGACATACTCTAGGTATTCTAATGTTTCATTTACTGTATATAAAAATTTTAGTTTTGGGGACTTGTACTGGACATCTACAGAGTAGGTGTGTACTCTTGGGGTTATGCTCTGATCTATCTAGTAGAACAAAGAAAGAAAGTACAGGATTTTTCTTTTCTCTTTTTTTTTTCTTTCATCTGTTTTTGTTTTCAAAAAGTAATTACATTTTGGGACACGTTGCTGGCTCATTCAGAAGAGCATGTAACTCTTGGCCTCAGGGTTGTGAGTTCGAGCCCCACATTTGGTGTAGAGACTATTAAAAAATAAATAAATAACTCAAAAAAATCAGTTAAATTTTGCTAATGTATAAATTGACATTGATGCTTTCAGTTTGTGTGTCAGATAAATTAGAAACAAAAAAGACATATTCTGAGAAAATAGTAGAGGTTGTAAGTCTGGAAGGGGTTGACAGTCATACATACCATCACTGGTTTGTTTGAGATATGTTGCATTGGGTTATAGTTTTACCTAATCCAGGTCAAGTAGATATGCAAGTTATAATACCTTAAATAGTAGAGTCTTTCAATATTTCATAACAAAAGATACAATAACCATAAATGCCTCTTTTACCTCAGGATATTGTCAAACTTAAAGATGAATTAGAATGTGTTTGAAATTTGCTGTTTGAGATTTGTCCTTTTCAGGAATGATGTAGCTTTCAATAGTATGATATTTAGAAAATATTTTCTGAAAGAGGAAACACAATTTAACTGTGATGTAAACATGAGTGAGAAAGTTAACTGCTTTTTGATGAAAATTGATACCATAGAGCAGAGGTGAGCACATTTTTTCCTCTAAAGGTTCAGATAGCAAATATTTCAGCTTTGCGGGGCATTTCTTTTGCAGTTACTCAACTCTGCCATTATATCATGAAAGCAAACATAAACAACACATAAATGAATATGTTCCAATAAAACTTTATTTATAGAAACAGGCTGGATATAGTTTGCTGACCCTTACTATAGCAAGAGCATTTTTAATATGTATTTTAGTAACACTTCCATCATATGATTTTAGCCATAAAAATAAATACCTACCCTTTTTAAAAATTTGATAACAATATTTTACAATCTGTTTAAAATCTTTCAAATGAAGGATTTCGGTTATTTTTCAAATCGTCTATTTAATATGTAAATCTAGAATATCTTATCAGCTTACAAAAACAATTGATGATAACAGAGAAAAAATATATTTACTAGCACATTTCA